GGATTAGGCAAAAGTTAAAACTCCCAGTTAGCAACTTCCAATATTAAACTCAAATTTAAATACCTGCTTCCAGGGTTTTCTATCTGTGGCACATCAGGTTGGTGTAGATATAGATGATGGGTGACCTGTGGGTGAGAGAATCCCTACCCTAACACCTTCACTGAGACATCAGGTAACATGATTTGCTAAGGTCATATAAAACACTTACAAACTTTTATTCCTTAGAAGGATGCCATTTGATTTTCCAGAATTATTTGTGACTTTTACCAAAGACTGATTTTTACAGTGATTTATATAACTATGTATTGGACAATTTCTCAAATCTAAACCCTCTCCAGGATGCCACTTAGCCCAAGTGTTGTTTTTAAAGCCTTTAAATAACTAGAACATACTTTTACAATTTATAAATTTTGCCAGAATGGGTGGTTACCTAAAGGAAACAGAATGATCCCCAGGTTCATCTGTCCTAATAAATGCCATAATTAGATAAGAAAGAGTGCATAAGCACGTTCCTTTGCTATTTTAGGGGCAGAATAAATAACTTCAGTAACCGATTATTCTAGAGCTTCCCAGGTGGCACTAGTCGTAAAGAACCCAACCCTGCACATTGCAGGGTTGCCGGTTCAACCCATGGGTCGGGAAGACCCCCTGGAGGAAGGCATGGCAGCCCCCCAACCCCGTCGAGTACTCTTGCCTGGAGAATTCCATGGACAGAGAAGCCTGGCGGGCTACAGTCCATGGGCTCCCAAAGAGTCGGACACGACTGAAACAACTTAGCATGCACCATGCAAATACTTACTCAACTGATTCGATGACACCCTGTTTTCAAAGAAGAAAGACAAATAATAGTGTAAAGCTCTTGATCTTGATAACTGCTTTATGTTAGTTTGCTATTTTGATTTCATAGGACAAAGAGATGATGTGCACAATTACTAATATGACAAATAATTCCTTTCCAAACTTTTTAGTTGGTTTCTTATTAAACTAATGATTTAATCACATCATCTTCCCTTTGCTTTATCTTATGAATTTGTCCATGAAAATATACACTTATTTCAAATATAAAATTTTACTTGAGCCAGACTTTTAAAAATGACATATGGACAGTTTAAGAAAAAATATGTGTCCCTTATTTTCTAGTTTGAACATTAAGTAATTTTTCTCCCTCTTTTCCCAATATAGATATATTAAACAACTAATCAGATTTGCCTATGATCCTTCTTCTGTCACTTAATGAAAATCCAGTAGTATGGTCAAAACTTTCTTTGATGGACTCTTACCATTCTTTTGATTCTGATTGTGAATATTTGATAAGAATATATGCTTTTAGGTGAAAGGAAATTTTCCATAATTTAATTATGTACATTTTCCCATGAATTTTTAACTTCATAAAATGATTAAATGATTGCCTACTTTATATACAGCCTAGTAATTAAGATTGCTGTTCAAAGGGACTGTAGTTTTATTAACAGCTAATTTCCACTCACTGGCGAATCTAGGACCACTGCCAACAATCCTAGATGAATGCTATGGCTTTCACCTCTCATTGACTCTCTGGAATCACTCAGGTCTTGGAGGAAGGACAACCTACATGCACTTTTGTCTTCTTCCTACCTCTGAACAACTCCTAGTGAGCACAGAGCAGCAAGAGGAAAATTAGTTTTTACCAACTATGTGTGTATAGTTGGTCAGAGCCTACTTTCACTATCATCTCAGGTGTTCCCTTCATGTTGTGATTCTTATGTTACAGAGAATTGTAGAGTGTGGATAAAATCCCAAAGCTCTTCCTCATCATGTAACTTCTAGAATTAGAGACCTTGCTTCATCTGGCTCTTGGCAGAGTAAGAAGGAGGTGTGTTTTAGCTGTAGGAATCACCAAAGGAGTTTATGCTTGGTTGTAGCTCTGCTTTCAACACTGCACTCTCAGCTTTTATTGCCACAGCATCTCAAAATCTTCCAATAACCGTCACATGGGTTATTGTTTGCAAATGTAGACTTGCTGACGATACATAGGAATAATTACAGTAATCTCCTAATTGATCCCTCCAAGACAGAATGCAAAATTGGATTCATTCTTAGATTCTGTTAAGCTTTCCATTACAGTTGAATATCCATTTGTAAGACACTATTTTAAGACACACAAAATCTCTTTGGAAAATAAAAGGAAAATATTAATATTCAAGAAAATGACCTCAGCATTCTGGAAAACATTGGTGAACATAAAGACTCAAGAAAGCATTGACAAAGGACCAGCTTTTCATATGGATAGAACTTCTGCTTGAAGGAGTTTAGTGTTTCCTTGGATCAGAACTCATTCTAGGTTGCTCTGGCCTCTTTTACTTCTTGAAAATAAACTATCAATGTGAATGTGCCATGGTTAGCAGGTAATATCTACTATCAAGATTTTGTTCTTCCTTGATTCACATAAAGCACTATAATGCTTAACAACTCAGTATCTAGGTCGCTGTTCATTTAGAACAAAATTGCAGAAGGCAGATCTAAAGAAGTTCTGCCCTAGAGCTGGCACAGTACTCAGAGTTACAGTTTGAGACTCAGTTTATCTAAAACCATAGTCTCTGTATTGTGCTTCTGCTCCCCAAAAAAGGTAAAATGACAAGTAATCCCACTCCCAACTACCAAATGTATAATATGCATTCATATTAAAGGTCTATTTGAATCATCACAAAAACTCCATGAGGAAGATATCATTATTGGCATTTATGGAGTAAAATGAGGTTCAGAGGAATGAAATCTGATGTTACTCAATTAAAATAAAGTCTGTAGACTATACTACAAAGCTACAATCATCAAGACAATATGGTACTGGAACAAAAACAGAAGTATAGACCAATGGAAAAAGATAGAAAGCCCAGAGATAAACCCACACACCTATGGGCACCTTATCTGTGACAAAGGAGGCAAGAATATACAATGGGTAAAACATAGTGTCTTCAATGAGTGGTGCTGGAAGAACTGGACAACTACATGTAAAAGAATGAAGTTAGAACACTTCCTAACACCATACACAAAGATAAACCCAAAATGGACTAAAGACCTAAATGTAAGACCAGAAAATATAAAACTCTTTTAGAATAAAACATAGGCAGAACACTGTATGACATAAATCATAGCAAGATCCTTTATGACCCACCTCCTAGAATAATGTAAATAAAAACAAAAATAAGGAAGTGGGACCTAATTAAACTTAAAAGCTTTTGCAAAGCAAAGGAAAATATAAACAAGGTGAAAAGACTACCTTCAGAATGGGAGAAAAGAATAGTAAATGAAACAACTGACAATTTCCAAAATATACAAGCAGCTCATACAACTCAATAGTGAAAAACAAGCAACTCAATCAAAAAGTGGGCAAAAGACCTAAATAGACATTTCTCCAAAGAAAACATATAGATGGCTAATAAACACATGAAGAGATGATCAACATCACTCATTATTAGAGAAATGCAAATCAAAACTACAATGAGATATCACTTCACACTGGTCAGAATGGCCATCATCAAAAAATCCACAAACAATAAATGCTGGAGAGGATGTGGAGAAAAGGGAATGCTCTTGCACTGTTGGTGGGAAACTATGGAAAACAGTCACTATGGAAAACAGTATGGAGATTCTTAAAAAAAAAAAAAAAACTAGGAATAAAACCACCATATGACCCAGCAATACCACTTCTAGGCATATACCCTGAAGAAACCAAAACTGAAAAAGACACATGTACCCCAATGTTCATTGCAGCACTATTTATAATAGCTAGGACATGGAAGCAACCTAGATGTCCATTGACAGATGACTGCATAAATAAGCTGTGGTACATATACACAGCGGAATACTACTCAGCCAAAAAAAGGAACACATTTGAGGCAGTTCTAATGAGGTGGATGAACCTAGAACCTACTATCCAGAATGAAGCAAGTCAGAAAGAGAAAAACAAATGCCGTATGTTGATGCATATATATGAAATCTAGACAGATGGTGCTGATGAACCTGTTCACAGAACAGCAGTGGAGATGCAGACATAGGGAACTGACTGATGGACAATGGTTGGGGCGAGGAGGGAGAGGGTAAGATGAATGGAGAGAGCAGCATGGAAGCATATACACTAACATATGTAAAGAGGTAGCCAATGGAAATTTTACCATATGACTCAGGGAACTCAAACTGGGGCTCTGTGATAACCCAGAGAGGTGGGAAATGGCAGGAGGTGGGAGGGAGATTCAAGAAGGAGGGGACAAATGTACACCTATGGTTAATTTATGTTGATGTATGACAGCAAAGCGACATTGTAAAGCAGTCATCAATCAATTAACTATATATATATATATATATATATGTCTATCTATCTATCTATATATATATATTTAAACTTACAATAAAAAAAAGGTCTGCAGCCAACATGAATATCTGGGTCTTTTGATACTACAGCTTATTTTTCTTCCATGCAAATATGGTAACTAAAATCTAGTGGGAATAAGTAAGTAAATTACTCAGTATCAAGCTTTTTTATAACATTTGCCTATGATAGCTTCTGCTTTTGCCAATGGTTTTTTTGGTCTTATAAAGTTACATTATGTATTGAGGGGCTCTAGTCGCAAAAGTGGATTTGTTTTAAATCAAACAGTATATCAAAGGCGTGGTCTGTGCAGATATAAGAAGAGTGAAGTAAATGAAAGGCTGAAATGAGAGCAAATACTATAGCCTTCCAACATGCTTAGAGATGATTACTGTTACATTTTTATTCAGATAATAAAGCTTTACATTTAAAGTTTAAATTTTAAAATATAGAAATATTTTTGTTGTTGTTTAGTCCCTAAATCATGTCTGACTCTTTGTGACCCCACAGACTCTAGCCCCCAGACTCTTCTCTCCATGAGATTTCCCAGTCAAGAATACTGGAGTGGAAAAAAAAAAGAATACTGGAGTGGATTGCCGTTTCCTACTTCAGGGATCTTCCCAACCCAGGGATTGAACTCATCCTTGCGTTGCAGGCATATTCTTTACCACTTAGCCACCTGGGAAGCCATAGAAATACATAAAGAACATAATAATTAACTTAATCTTACAACTTGAAGAAGATAACTTTTTTGCCACATATATTTTACTTTTGGGAATACATACACACATGCATGCAATCTGTCTAGATATATTGTTCTCTGAAATAAAAATTCTACATATATGAACAATGTGTATAGGGGTATATTATATATAAGCTGTGTTTTCTCCATTTTCATAGACTGTATTATGAGCCTCTGTTCACATCTAGATTACATATCCATATCATCACTTTATAGTGACATTACTTTCTGCGCTAGTTTCTGTTTGTATTGTACATTATTCAATCAATTCCTATTTATTGTATGTAAAGCTGCTTTTTATATTCGCTATCATAGAGAGCCTCATGATAAATATGTGCATATTTCTGGCATAATTATATTATCACCCCTATTAGACAGGGAATTTAATTCCAAAGTGCATTCACTGTCTAAAATGGAGCTTGTTTCTAAGGCTTTTCAAGTTGAAATAGCACATTTTCCTTGAATAGCTGTACAAATTTATACCCTCGCCAGGACTGAAAGGGACGCTAGCTTCCTTCACTTCTGCTGTCACCAAGTACTCATTAATTGTATTTACACTCTGTGAATATGCAGTTCAAGTACGTTGTCCATTTTTCTACTGAAGTGTCTGCTTATATTTTCTTAATAACATGTTCATATAATATTTTAAGAATATTAGCCCTTTCCTATCTGTCATGTGTATTGCCAATGATTTTTCTACTTTATTGTCTGTCTTTTGTTTACAGTGTTTTCTACCATAAAAATAGTTTACATTTTATTTTCCTATTCACTTCTAGAAAGGCCTTTTTTCAATCTAAGAGTATAAATAGGGTAAATAGAGTAACTTTTATTTTCTAGTATCTTTTTCATTTTTTATACTGCATTTTCTCCATTGTGAGTTATATGCTTATGTTTTTCTTCTGTTTCTCTATTGGGTAATCAATTGTATTCTCTTACAGATGTAATTATTGTTAGCGTTATTTTCCTTTTTAAATTTTGAAGTACAAAAGTGATTTGCCATGAAACTTCACATAATACTTAGTTGAAAGCCCTCTTCAGCATCCTTCTCAAGCAGGAGTTTGGTGTGTACCTTTCACCGGGTCATACAATGTCGGTATTGTATCGCAGCTCCTTTTGGTAAAGAGAACATTCCTGCCTGTTTCTTGTGAGACTCGTGTGACCAGGTTAGGTCACAGCCTGGCTTTGATTCCAGCTGAGTCATGGGGGAAAGTCCCCCAGGGCCCTGGGACCCACCAGTTACGAAGTCTCACGTTACTCTGGGTGTTCCAGGGCTAGTCATGCCAACAGGCAAACAGAACTCCACCCAGGACATGGCCTCCATGTCATGGCAGTGACCACAAATATACCCATGTATTTTATCATCTTTCTCTTCAGTAGTAATCCTTTAAGATTCTGAGATGTTGATGATTCTTGAATCTTGTGTCTCATCTGACATTTTCCTGAGAAAGATATTTCATACACATTTAATTGGGAGACTGTGCAAGGATATTTTGTCACTTTTGTGTAAGCTAAGGTCTCCTGTCCACCTGACTCTTGATCTATTCAGTAGAGGTGTATTTTGTATAACTGTCTGGTGTATCATCCTATAATCTTCTAGAAAGCCATGGATTACTATCAATACTCTTATAACACAGGCTTAAAGAGATTAATTAATATGCTCAATTGATACAACAGTGAGGAAAGGGGAAGTGCTGAACTGCACGGCCAGTTTTATTATCTAATAGGAAGGAACCCATTTCATAAGCTACTGCCTACGAGGCTCTGTGATAATGTAAGAAATCTATCTTAGATTATGTTCCTCAAAATGTAGTACAAAAACCACCTACATCAGAATGATTTGGAGTGTGAAAAATGGTGGTGGAAAGACTTTCAGTTTAACTGTATTTTGATTTTTAAAGCAAATAAATTAATTTTGTACTTCAGAAATTAGAAAAGAAAATCTGTAACTTGTTGGAATGTAGATTCCTGGTGTCATACAAGATACCTGGCAGGGAAGGTGGGGGGCAAGTACCTCTATTTTTAACACCTCTCAGATTGATTCCTATGGAGCTTAACTTTGAGGCTTAACGTCCAAAGTATTTAATTATATGTTTAGACTTAAGATGGGATAATCATGGCAATATAAAAATAAACATTTGATGATGTATTTCACTTTGCATATAAAGTTAAACAATGTCCCATTTTCCATAGTTTCAAGGTAAAAATTTAGGAAAAAAAAGAAAAAGGAATTTTTTTTTAATATGGTAACTACTTGAATATAACTTGGAATGTTCTACTTAATTGAATACACCAATATAGACAGTTAACTAATTAGCCGAATTCATGTTCTCTGAGCTATCATATCATGTCTTTTTACTGGCAGAATAAATCTTGATGATCAGAGTTTTTGGAAATACTGGAAGGTCCCACCAAAATGTAAACCTTATTGTGATTCTGTTATTGAAATCTCATTCTTCATGGGATCTTTTGTTCTAAAATAGTTTTCATAAACTAAAATTCCTAATTTCAAACCTCATGCTTAATTACATTTCATTGATGTTAATAACTAAAAGTGAAACAAAGAATTATCATAGACTGGATTTTGATCTCATTTATGTCGGAAGGTAATAGAAGCTTAGATAACTTTTAAACTTGCACATTCATCAACTTTGTAAAACAATGATAAGCTACTTTAGAAATTATTTTAAAAATTGTGTCTCAAAATTTTCTATCCTAATGACCAAATGTGTATTTTATATTTTAATTGTGATATTTAATTTCATTTAAATTGTGTTACTGATTCAAATTAAAAGATGAATGTAGTTTTACCAAGAAAAGTTAAGCAATTTGGGGAAAATAAATAATATTTTAATAGAAATGTAGCATGTATTTTTATATATATATATATATATATATATGTATATACACTTATGCATATATATACATATATCAAACTAGCCTGAAAGTTTTCTAGTGCCTCTGTTTCCTTAATCTGAGAAGTACTATGTTGCATTCTTCTTCCACAGGCTTATGCAGGCAAAGAAATGGAGGAGCAGCTGCGGTCAGTGTCCAGTGTGGATGAACTCATGACTGTGCTCTACCCCGAATATTGGAAAATGTACAAGTGTCAGCTAAGGAAAGGAGGCTGGGAACATAGTAAAGAACAGGCTAACACCAACACAAGGACAGGAGAGACTCTAAAATTTGCTGCAGCACATTATAATACAGAGATCTTAAGAAGTAAGTATGGGAAAAGAAAGTATATAATAAGCTTCACATGTCAGCCCAGTGCAAATTGCCATTCTGATCCTTTAATTTCAGCATTTGTAATACCACTGAATACCTTTAAGGCCAAAAGTAAAACAGAAAATGAAGAATTATTTTCCAAATACAGAATTTTAAGATTTCACTGTAAGTGGTTAAAGTGGTTTCTTGAAAAATAAAGACCGGTGCATGCGTATCAACACACTGTAATTTTTTTTTAAAACATACAAATGAATTTTACACACTATAACACTTCAATCACTTAAACATTCTAGATCACAAAAATTAATTGCACAAAACTTTTCTTTTGCTTTGAATATAGAGATGTTTACTTTCTACATCATCCAAAATCATGTTGTCAACTGCTATTTGTTTCTTGTTGCTTTAGATGGAACTTAACTTGAGAGCTGGGCTTTGATAAAGTTAGTGAGTGATCTCTAAGCAGCAGTCACAAAAAATTATGGTTGCACAAAGTGACGTAGACCCCCTGGGGGTCTCTTGTTGGACTACTTAAAAAATAACTCCTTTCAGTTGTTAGATATTAACTGCTATAAAGGCTTGAGATTGCAAATTATTTTGAGAAAAAAAGCAAACAAAAATGGTTTCATGATTGAATAACCCATAGTTTATATCTTTTTTTCTAGACACTTTATTTTAGGGGAAATAGGGGAAAAATAAACTAGAACATTTAAGAAGTATATCATCTGTAATGCGGTCTTTATAAAGAGTCAACAGTGCCATAGGTAAAGCGCCAACTCACTGGAAACAGAATTCCAAGAGGAAGCATGAAAGGAATAGGAAGCTTTGACTTTTCCTGAAAAAGAAATTTTGTTCAGGATACATGTCCCTGTTACTAGAAAATACCTTCTCATTTCAAGTAGCTATCACCAAGACATGGTCACCAGTCTAAAAATGAGTTTTCAAAACCAAAGCCATCATCTCATTCACAACTCAGTTTAAAAAGAGAAATTAAACATGTTGTTTATATTTGCTTTGCAACATTAAAAATACTACATATAATAGCAAATGAGTATGATTCTATTTATAAACATCTACATGTTAAATTTTCAGGGATCTCCCAGGTGACTCAGTGGTAAAGAATCCACCTGCCAGTTCAGGAGCCAAGAGACAAGGGTTCGATCCCTGAGTTGGGAGGATCCCTGGAGGAGGAAATGGCAACCCACTCCAGTATTCTTGCCTGAAAAAACCCCATGGACAGAGGAGCCTGGAGGCTAAGTCCATGGATTCACAAAGAGTCGGACATGAATGAGCACACATGGACAAGTAAAGTACTGTAGAATCCATTCTAATTGTAAGGAAGCATAACACTAATGGTATTGTATTTATAAATTATTTATATATTATATATAAAAATATATAAATAAATATATATTTATTATATCTAAATCTTGACTCTGCAATCCATTGTGAGTGACTTCCAGCTGCTGTGGGTTTTTCCACCTTGGCATCTGTGTGACTTACGGCCTTCCCTGTGACCCGACAGGTATTGATAATGAGTGGAGAAAGACTCAATGCATGCCACGGGAGGTGTGTATAGATGTGGGGAAGGAGTTTGGAGCAGCAACAAACACCTTCTTTAAACCTCCATGTGTGTCCGTCTACAGATGTGGGGGCTGCTGCAACAGCGAGGGGCAACAGTGCATGAACACCAGCACCGCTTACCTCAGCAAGACGGTAGGTGTGCGGCTCCGGCGGGCCCCGGCCTGGCTTCACCTCTGCTCCCGCCAGGGAACTTAGTGCAGGGACTGCCCGGCGGTCCAGGGGCTGGGACTGCGCCCTCCAGCACGGGGGGACCGGGTTCTATTCCCGGTCCAGGAGCTAAGACCCTACATGCCTTGCAGCCAAAAAACTAAAACATAAAAAAGAAGCAATATTGTAACAAACGCAATAAAGACTTTTAAAATGGTCCCCAGCAAAAGAAAAAGATTTTAAAAATAAGTTAGCTCAATTCAGAGCTGCTTCTCTTGTCTGTGAGGAATGAAGTGAATTTTTCAGTAGCTGTGTTTTTGATGAGAGACTATCACCAAAAACGTAACTGATACTTTATGAACTCTGTTTATATAGTGGCATCAAAGCCACTTTTTACAAATCCAATGGAAAAAATTAATGACAGTAGCATATTCTCCAAAAGATAGTATTGATTTTTAAAAGATATTAAAATTAATGCTGTTTTTATATTCAGGTTAAACTCTTATTTAAAAGGAATTTTGGTCTTCTGAGTCTGATGAAAAAAACATGTTGACTTTTTTTAAAGTTACAGAAAATAAACATGAGGGATTTAGGAATTATTGTAAAATAACATTTTTTAAATACCTTTAGTTGTGTATATTTTAAAATACTTCAGTCAAGTGGTATGATGTGCATCCTAGACAATATCGTTTATTACTATGGTGCTTGGTTTAAATGAAATATCAACTTGCATTGATTTTTTTTTAAAGGCCTTGATATACCAGTTGAGTTTTCCAAAGAACGAAGGGCTATGTCTCTTTTAAAATTGGGATGATATGCAATACACTCAAACAATAGATTTTTGAAGAATTGTGTTACCAAGTAAAACAAAATATATCTATTAAGAGCTCATAATTAATCATTTTAGAACTGCCTTATTGGATTTAGTTGATGAAATTTATTTTTTGAGTGCTTATATCATATAGATTTGAATGACAGCCATTGTAGTATTGGAATTTTTTGTTCATTTCTGGAAATTCCTGTTTTTTGAATAGTTCATTTATTTACTTGGTGAAAATAAGTTAGCAGTTGACAACATCCAAGGCTGTTTTTCATTACTCGGTTCAGTTCAGTCGCTCAGTCATGTCCGACTCTTTGCGACCCCATGGACTGCAGCACTCCAGTCCTCCCTGTCCATCACCAACTTCTAGAGCTTGCTCACACTCATGTCCATTGAGTTGATGAAGCCAACAAACTATCTCATGCTCTGTTGTCCCCTTCTCCTCTCATTTTCAATCTTTGCCAGCATCAGAGTCTTCTCCAGTCAGTCAGTTTTTCACATCAGGTGGCCAGAGTATTGGAGTTTCAGCTTCAACATCAGTCCTTCCAATGAATATTCAGGACTGATTTCCTTTAAGATGGATTGGTTGGATCTCCTTGCAGTCCAGGGGATACTCAAGAGTCTTCTCCAATACCACAGTTCAAAAGCATCAATACTTTGGCACTCAGCTTTCTTTATAGTCCAACTCTCACATCCATACATGACTACTAGAAAAATCATATAGCTTTGACTAGACAGACCTTTGTTGGCAAAGAAATGTCTCTGCTTTTTAATATGCTGTCTAGGTTGGTCATAGCTTTTCTTCCAAGGAGTAAGCATCTTTCAATTTCATGGCTACAGTCACCATGACTTAGGAGCCCAAGAAAATAAAACCTCTCACTGTTTCCATTGTTTCCTCATCTATTTGCCATGAAGTGATGCTTCCCGGTGGCTCAGATGGTAAAAGCCTCTGCCTACAATTCGGGAGACCTGGATTCGATCCCTGGGTTGGGAAGATCCCCTGGAGAAGGGAATGGCAACCCACTCCAGTACTGTTGCCTGGAAAATCCCATGGGCGGAGAGCCTGGTGGACTGCAGTCCATGGGGTCGCAAAGAGTCGGACATGACTGAGCGACTTCACTTTACTTTGATGGGACCAGATGCCATTATCTTAGTTTTCTGAACGTTGAGTTTTAAGGCAACTTTTTCACTTTCCTCTTTCACTTTCATCAAGAGGTTCTTTAGTTCCTCTTCACTTTCTGCCATAAGGGTGGTGTCATCTGCATATCTGAGGTTATTGATATTTCTTCCGGCAATCTTGATTCCATCTTGTGTTTTTCCAGAGTAAGAGGCCTTCAGCGATTCCCGGTTGCTCCTAGAATGAGACCAAATTCTCTATCACTGCCTCTGCCTTCCTCCACGGCGTGCTCTAACACGACTCTCCCTTGACCTCCCTCTCTGTAGTCCCCGTGATCTCAGCTTCCTTCAGCTCCTGAGACCCCATCGCCCTCCGCCCCAGACCTTTGCACACAGCTCTGGGCCACCCTGGCCTTCCAGTCTCCTCCCGCTAAGACACCAGCTCCTCAGACCTCAACTCAAGTATCGCGTGGCTCCAGGAAGCCCTGGGGGAGATTTTTCTGACTTGGTTACACTCAGTATTCTTGAAAATTCTTTGTGGTTTCTAATACTTTTCTTTCAAAGCAACAACTATAGCTTATAATCATATAGTTTATAAATAGGGTCATTATTATTTGATTAATGTCTGTCACCTCCACAGAGGGAAGAACAGGTCTATTTCATGCACTGATCATCCGGGTGCCCACCACAGAGGGAGTGCACACCCCCTTATAGGAGCCCCAAAAACCATGGACCCTCTCACCAGAAAAGAAATGAAAGCACAGACACATCCACAGCATTTGCCCTACAGTTTCAGGGAGTTGGTTCTCTGACCCTTAATCCTTAAGTGTTCAATCAGAACACTTATTCTTAATGATTAAGAATATTAAAACAGTTGATTAACTCACTTGTGTAATTTTTAAATGATTCTTTTACCAACCAAAAGTGTATACTATAAATTGCAGCTCTATCTTTTAAGAAGATCTATTTCTTTAACAAATAGGAGAGAAAATTCTCCTTTTTTTTCCCCATTTATATTTAATACAAGCAAAAGTCAACATTCTATTTCTCTTACTATCAGCTTACTAAATATGTGTTTACATATGTGCCAAGTTGGAGTCCCTTAGGTAAAAGTCTGAATTTGGGAAACAGAAAATCAATTCTTTGTTAGTAAGCAAAGCAAATATATTTAGTCTTCAACAAACCATTAGTAGTTTTCTGTGACCAGTGCATATTTATTCTCTAATTAGGTCACTGGTCTATTTAGGTCACATATTCACCTAATTGGTATCAGAGTAAAGGTATTTATGTAGGGACAAGTATGTATATACACAGCATACAAACTGCTCTGCCACGTTGGAGGCCTTAAAGGGGTTTAGGCTTCAGAAATTCTAAGTCTCCAGGGCTAAGAGCATTTAGTGCTAAGTTTAAGTGCTATGTGTAAATAAAACAGAATTTGAGCCAGTAGCCTCAGTACTTAAACATCAAACATGGTATCTTTTTCCTGGAAGAAAATTAAGTCTACTTTATATCATACGGAAATAGTTCTGGCTGTATTTCACCTTCTTTGACCTCCAGACTTCACAGAATTTAAGAGTATTTTATGATACATTTATGATGTTGCTACTATTCATTTTACTGGCTTCCTCCCTATTATCTGCTCACAGGAAAAACAATCAGAATTTGCTATACCACTTTTGAAGTCTGTCTGGTTTATTGTTGTTGGTTTATGTTGTTCTCCCATTTTGTTTGGATCCTTTTCAATAGACTTGATACTTAAAATAATCACTTTTCACAATTCTTATAAATTCTGATCTGCAAAGCAGCAATTTTTAACTTTGTAACTGTAAATAGTGGGGTAATTTGCATTTTACTACTTCAATTTTTAGAAGATTTGCAGAATTTTGGAATTAAAAATTTGAAATCAGTTGGGAAAGAGGCACTTAGTCTTCTGGGTCCTGCCCTGGGCACCCTCCTCTGACTGCACATGCTCTCCTTCCTTACCTTCTCTCTCTGCTCTTCTGGGGATCCCTCCCCCAAATCTCCATCTCTACCTCAGACTTCTCTCGTGGTTTCCCCACAGCCTACTCAACCTCGTGACTGGGCTTCCCCTAGACAGAGTCAGTCTGTCTCACACCAGATCCCATCCTTTCCCTGCCCCCAGTCGCATCCTTACAAATAAACAAGTCAATGAATCGTTTTCTTTCTTCAGTATTCTGTCTTAGTAAATGATGCCATTCTTTTATTAGTCGATTGACCTGATTTTTCTTCATTTCACTAAAAGCCCAATCAGCATTTCCTATACCTTTCCAAGATCTCTGGGACCCGTCAGTGCCTTTAATGTGCTGACCTCATTCTGGTCTGGACCACATCCATCCGTTACCTGGACCATTACGCATGGACCAGCTCTAAACTGATGTCAAAGCCCCCTTCCTACTTCCCTTCAATCCCCTTGCCACATTGTAGCAGTGTTTCTTCTTTCTAAATGATAAATCTGACACTGCTCAGAACTCTCCAGTAACATTGCTTATTGACACTGAGCCAGCATACAGCAAATGTATAGGTAAACTGGTCTTTGTGTTTGAAACATCTCCTAACACACCACTCCATATCCCCACTTATCTAGCTAATTTCTACTCAACCTCAGCCTGGACATAAATGTCACCTTCACAGCATCCTGTCCTATGCTTCAGTAGCAGCCTTTATCACTCATCCGACATAGAATCATCACCTTATCAGTCAAATCATTTCACTTCCCATTCTCTAAACCCTAAGAAAGCAAAGGCTGTGTTTGGTTATCACTATGGGGCATAACAGTGCAGAAGTTGGTATGCGTTAAACACTGGGCACTCAATAGAATAAATCCTTAGATGAAAGGAAACAGATTTGAGGTCAAAGGTGGAGTTTTAAATAGGCTTATTTTGAAGCATCTGAGTGGTAAGTAGGTAGAGATACCAGAGGGAGATTGGGCATGTAATTCTAGAATCCTACAACAAGTGATTGGATCTTCAGCTGTAGATCTGGGAAGAAACCTCACACTGATGAATGTTTCTTGGAGCCTTGGTGTGGT